ACAAGAGGTATTTGATAGGCACATTTAATATTTTTGTAAATTATATATAACAAGAGGTATTTGATAGGCACATTTAATATTTTTGTAAATTATTTATAACAGAGAGGTATTTGATAGGCACATTTAATATTTTTGTAAATTATTTATAACAGAGAGGTATTTGATAGGCACATTTAATATTTTTGTAAATTATTTATAACAGAGAGGTATTTGATAGGCACATTTAATATTTTTGTAAATTATATATAACAAGAGGTATTTGATAGGCACATTTAATATTTTTGTAAATTATTTATAAGAATAGGTATTTGATAGGCACATTTAATATTTTTGTAAATTATATATAACAAGAGGTATTTGATAGGCACATTTAATATTTTTGTAAATTATATATAACAAGAGGTATTTGATAGGCACATTTAATATTTTTGTAAATTATTTATAACAGAGAGGTATTTGATAGGCACATTTAATATTTTTGTAAATTATTTATAACAAGAGGTATTTGATAGGCACATTTAATATTTTTGTAAATTATTTATAACAAGAGGTATTTGATAGGCACATTTAATATTTTTGTAAATTATTTATAACAAGAGGTATTTGATAGGCACATTTAATATTTTTGTAAATTATATATAACAAGAGGTATTTGATAGGCACATTTAATATTTTTGTAAATTATTTATAACAAGAGGTATTTGATAGGCACATTTAATATTTTTGTAAATTATTTATAACAAGAGGTATTTGATAGGCATTTTAAATATTTATAACTTTATTATTATAGGAAAAATAAAAGGGAATTTTCAAAATTTTATAAGGGATCCAAATAATAGGAAACCACATTTCAAAGACATTTTTCAATAATTTTTAAAAATCTAAGAATCACAAATTAAAACAAGAGGAAACTAAATAATCGCAAGACAGTTATAGGTGTTATAGAAGATACTCTCCTATAGAAGCACTGGCCTAGGTCACAAGTAGAGACTATGGATGTCAACATGAAAACTATTTCAATTCAAACAGATTATTCATAGATTATTACTTCTGGAGGGATTACAAGAAAAAATATATTCAACTCAAATTCCAATGCCATTGTTTCAGGGAGTTGATGAAAGGGGTTCTAATCTACCATGAACCAATATATTACTAAAGTTTTTATTTCTTTTATATGCAGTGACCAAACGTTAAGTATAAAAGCGTTTAACAATGACACAGGCAATTTTAGCTGTAGTATTGTAGGTGGCAATGAATGGTATGAATGTCATATTGGATATTTAGGCCGTTAGGTATAACTGTTTGTAGTTGATCTATCCAAAAACTCTCCCTTTGCAATCATTTGGTTTTTGGTTTGATCAATGTTGATACAGGTACCCTTTTCTATAGGCATAACAAGAAGATCTTCAATGGAATGAAGTGTAACATGAAATATATTTACAATAAAATTGAGTGTTTGGTGATATTTGGATATATTTGAGTATATAAGTAAACAAAAAAATTACCAAGCAAAGAATCAAAAATAAAATAAAATTAATAAAAATTGTTTTGCCCTATTGGGTGTGAAATGTGATGCTAATATAAGTGCTATTGGATTAGAAAAATATTTGTAATGATTAATAAAATTGTTTTGCCCTATTTGGTATAAATTGTTATGTAAATATAACTGATAATCAATTGTATTTTTGTCATAATCTTTGTGATCATCAGTGAATGATTCTTTACCATTAAATAAGAAGTTCACAATTTTTACGTTTTGTTTTGAAAATATAAAAACTCACCAAAAACTCATAAATATAGAGATCGAACAGGCTGTTCCGCTTACTTCAAATTCATAGACTCATTAAGGCAGGGTTTAAATGACTTCATGGACCCAACTCACCAAGAAATTGCATTCTTATAAACCCTTTAAAAGAAATGACTGGTATGATTGTGACTATGTAATGTATTTGAAATGATTATATATTATAATAATAACAATGAAACATCAGAACCTAAAAATCTTCTTGATACCTAATACAATCTTATTGATACCTAATACAATCTTCTTGATACCTAATACAATCTTATTGATACCTAATACAATCTTATTGATACCTAATACAATCTTATTGATACCTAATACAATCTTATTGATACCTTATACAATCTTATTGATACCTAATACAATCTTATTGATACCTAATACAATCTTCTTGATACCTAATACAATCTTATTGATACCTAATACAATCTTATTGATACCTAATACAATCTTCTTGATACCTTATACAATCTTATTGATACCTTATACAATCTTATTGATACCTAATACAATCTTATTGATACCTAATACAATCTTATTGATACCAAATACAATCTTATTGATACCTAATACAATCTTATTGATACCTTATACAATCTTCTTGATACCTAATACAATCTTATTGATACCAAATACAATCTTATTGATACCTAATACAATCTTATTGATACCAAATACAATCTTATTGATACCTAATACAATCTTATTGATACCTTATACAATCTTATTGATACCTTATACAATCTTATTGATACCTAATACAAAAAAATATACAGTATATGATATGGAAGCTCTGAAAGGGAAGCAAAGCCTACCAGACAATCACAGAGTGTAATCAGGTGTTCAAAACAATGATTTTAAGGCATCCATCATGAACATTCAATGTATGCTACATCTGGCAACTGTATTTCACCTTTCCCAAACAAATTCTTTCAAAATAGGAACATAAACAGTTAACTTTCAAAACGAATTCAATTTTTAACAACCCATTCCTTCAACAAAATGTATAACAAAAGTAAACTTTTAAAATTTTCATTACCTTTAAAGATGGGTTTCCTTATTTTTTAGTGCCAAATTAAAGATGGGTTTCCTGATTTTTGAATGTCAAATTAAGCAAACTAGTTGATTAATTGGTGTTTCTAATGAGTTATCATGTATTCTTAATCATATCATTATGTTCTTATTGCATATAATTAAGAGTTTTAACCATCATAAATGTCCATGTATGTACAGTCTGGATAAACAAAAAAATACTTTTTGACCTTTCTTGATCAGTCACTCATCGGAATTCTGCTGGTAATTCTCTTCTAATTTAGCTAATTATGAATTAATTATGAACATGTGAGACAAACTGGTATTTTTCCAAGTCATTAGAACACATCTACTTTCTATTCATATAAGTATTAGCATTTTCATATTCATAAATAAAAATAAGGGAACCCATCTTTAACCCCCAAAATTCAATTCTTAACAAGATAAAATAGTAATGATAAATACAGTAAATAATTAAAAACGTCCCCTTACCCAAACAATATAAGAAACATCGCGGAAATGTCTACCCTAAATCGCAGAACACTTTTCTTAGATATGTGAACTCTACAAAAGGAATATCCAGGTGATACACAAAGACGCACAGTGGAATCAGGTATTCTGAAAGGGTTAAACAAGCCCTTCATCACATGGAAATTAATACAAAAGCACAAATTGCTTTGGTATAACATTTTTCTGGTCACAAAATTTGTGGCGCTCTAAAATTGATGAGTAACAAAGAAAAAAAATAATAAAAAAGTTCGAAAGGTTTTTGTGAAAATATATGAAAATGATTTGGTTGAAAAAAAATGGCTTATTTCAATTAAAATATTTCATTCAATTTAAGTAGAATTCTTTAGGCCTATTATGCAAAAATAACTGCCTCGCATGAAAGCTTGGCATTTTAGACACACCATTTTTATTTTGATTGTAGAAAATTAAGTAAGATTCTATTTTTAGCCTAGTCACTGTCCTCGTCCCCAGTGCCATTTTCTACCTCACTTGCGCCATCTGCTTCTTCATGGACGTCAGCCTTTTTGTTGCTGGTAATTGTCGAATTTGTTTTGGACTTTGAAGATTTTTTTTTGGATCTGTTTTTGACGATTTCTTCATATCTGGCGAGATCTTTTTTACTAAGAGACTGAAAAGAAGGAAAATCTGATCAGTTGGGCTGTGAAATTTGTTGGCTTGAAGAATTGGACTGTTCCCTTTTGGGCTAAAAACTATAGCCACGGCTGTAACTTAAGATATTTTGGTCTCTTAACCTCAAAAATGAAGATCTAACGTTTCGTGTTTTTTACTGAAGGTAACTTCACCATTCAGCCTTGATCTAACGCAATTTTTCTTTAAACTATGTTCACAATACCCAGTTGATTAACTAAGTCTAACAGTGACATCAGGTGGTCCAGATAAAATTGAGTTCAGAAGCAACCTAGAGGATCTCACCTCTTTAAATTTGGCCAGTTCTTCTTGATATTGGGCCTCGCATTCTTTCGCCTTTTCCAAATATTTCACTTTCTCTTCCTCTGCCATTTGTCTCCATCTTTCCCCCAATATTTTGAGTTTATCACTGCCTCTATGACCTGACAGAGTTGGGATGTGCTCTTGAACAAAATGGGCATAGCTGTTTCTGAAAATGAAATGAAGCAAAAAATTTTATTAGGCTTATTAAATGAAATAATTTAATTTATGCAGACCTTTGAAAAAGATTGTTAAAATTGCAGCAAGACCTCATCCATTGGTGCTGAACAAGTCATTTGATTGGTTTTCCATTTAAAATTTGGTGAAGTAACCCATAGAAAATAAACGAAACAAAATTATATAAGAGATACCAGCATCTGACAGTCCAATCAGAAAGATATTTATTCTTCTCCAATCCAATCTGGTTGACCAATATTCCTTAAGATTATTCATAGTTTTGATTGAATTGAAGACAAACCCAAAGCCTGATTTTCATTTTGAAAAATGATATATTACTTACACTATTTTGTGTTTGGGTTCACCGGGAAAAGTAGCAGGTAAAATGTCTTCTTTAAGTTTGGGCTTCCTGTAAATACAAAGACGTGTCTTATTACTCGATTGCACTCCAAACTCCCAAATGGAATCTGGAACTTTCACAATGAAGTGAAGTGGCTCTGATTCTGATTGTTCTGGTTTTGTTAAAATTACAACCATTTTTAGTCTAAAAAGAGATTCAAAATGGTTGTAAACTACATTCGTGTGTGATATTTCATTCGAACGTCACCAAGCTGAAATGGACACTTCACTGAACAGTAATGGTATTTTCCAAATTCCCTCGAATGTGCACACTCCAAATATCAACAAAATCACAATTTTTTACGTATTTAGAACTTGTCTTTCAATAATTGAACTTCCAATGTGGCCGCTCCGTAAACTTTCATGCTATAGACAGTCGACTATAAATAGGTGACCTACTTATTGCTGATTGGCTGTTCTCTAGGACGTCTCTATTGTAAGTATCAGTTCATTAACGTCATATTAAAATTTTTATGTATTTATGCGCCAATTTTGTGCCTTAAATTGTTGATTATAAGAAATGACCTGAACATTTTTTCAGTTTATTGATGTATAAACAGAAAAAAAACTGTCACACTTATATATAAACAGCTACATGGTTTAATACAGTGTACACAAGTTTATTCTGTTTGTACATCGATAAACTGAAATAATGTTCAGGTCATTTCTTAATCATTTTACAAGAATTACTAATTAGGATTTCAAGGACCTTGTCTACCAGTCTGTCCTTAGCCTAACATATATATATATTAGAAGGATAACAACTTAATATTTCAAGGACCTTGTCTACCAGTCTGTCCTTAGCATAACATATATATATTAGAAGGATAACAACTTAAAATTTCAAGGACCTTGTCTACCAGTCTGTCCTTAGCCAAATATATATACTTTAGAAGGATAACAACTTAAAATTTCAAGGACCTTGTCTACCAGTCTGTCCTTAGCCAAATATATATACTTTAGAAGGATAACAACTTAAAATTTCAAGGACCTTGTCTACCAGTCTGTCCTTAGCCAAACATATATACTTTAGAAGGATAACAACTTAAAATTTCAAGGACCTTGTCTACCAGTCTGTCCTTAGCCAAATATATATACTTTAGAAGGATAACAACTTAAAATTTCAAGGACCTTGTCTACCAGTCTGTCCTTAGCCAAACATATATACTTTAGAAGGATAACAACTTAAAATTTCAAGGACCTTGTCTACCAGTCTGTCCTTAGCCAAACATATATACTTTAGAAGGATAACAACTTAAAATTTCAAGGACCTTGTCTACCAGTCTGTCCTTAGCCAAATATATATACTTTAGAAGGATAACAACTTAATATTTCAAGGACCTTGTCTACCAGTCTGTCCTTAGCATAACATATATATATTAGAAGGATAACAACTTAAAATTTCAAGGACCTTGTCTACATGTCTGTCCTTAGCATAATATTCCACACAGATAACAACTTGGAGTTTCAAGACTTTCCAGAACTCACCAGAAATCTGTGATGAGTTTGGTTTTCTTTTTCTTAGTGGAAGGTTCTAGACTCTCTAGAGTGGGTAGGTTCACAGTTTTGGTCAGAAGCTCGCGTTCTTCTTCTGGTAAAGATAGTAACTTCTCTTTCATTTCGGTTTTATAGGCTTCCTTCAGCTGAAATACAATGGAGGAGGAACTGAAAGTAAATTTCTTGGTCCTTTGAAACTTAGGCCTCAGTCTATGGATTTAAATGGACAGGTTGGTCAATTTCTGTGGTTGCTTAGGGTCTTGAACTTGTGTAATTTCTTCAAAAATACCCAAAACTAGGAATTCTACTTTCTATAGATGTTTTTTCTATATATCACAGTGCCTCAAGAAAAAACGAGTTATCATTTTAACTTTCAAACGTGGATAATTCTAGACACACATGGATTTGAAGGCTCAAATTTCGACGATGAGCTGTGAACACTATAACCGATTGGCTAAACTGAACAATTCCAGTTTCTAAGACCAAGGTATGATTGGCCCCTGAAAATGGCGAACTATGGACTTTGAGCACCCCACTAATTAAGCCACAACATATCTACATCATATGAGCTGTTGCCTAGTTACCAAAAGTCAGCCATTTTGAAATTCAAACTGACCTTATGTGATTCCTCATTATATTTCTGTTTCTCTTCCAAGGGCACCTCCTTCCATCTTTCAGAGATGATTTTAAAATATTCCGTAACTGGATTGTTTTGAGTGAATTCTTCATCTTTCATGATGTTTTGGGCAAATATGGAATATCCTGTCCTAAAAGAGAGGAGAAATATTTTTCTACTTTGTTGATAGAGACTATTTTCCCTGATAAGAGACTCCTTTTAATTTCTTGAGTCTTCTGTGCCTTATTCAGATATCAACAGACAAAAATGCCGTCTGCAATAAGGCATATGTTTCACTACAAGGCTTCAAGTTGATCTGATATCCAATTGTTAAGGCATCAAGAAGCCTTATTGGATAATGAAAGTACTGCAGTGTGCAATGAGGAAATTTTGACAAGCACACTTACCCTGGCGGTTTGTGTGGAATTCCATCATGTTTCCATTTGGTAGCCATTTCATTTTTGTTGATGTAATTAGATGCCATTTTCACTTCTTTTTCTGGATTTTCACTCAAATATTCAATGACTTCTTCCTAAAATTCAGGAAATTACAGAAATCTTTCAGAATTCACCAACCAATCAAATGGCCTGTTACATAAAAGACTAGGCCAGAGATTGGTATACCTGTAGCATTTTCGTATCATATTTCTTTTATCAGGGATTCTGATTAAACGTTCGACATAGCTAGCTGAGCCCATACCATCTAATTTTTAGGGGCCCACCAGAAATTTAGAACGGCGACTGGCAAGTGCTTATTTGAACCCCTTCACAGGCCTTCTATCACATCACAATACCCACCCCTAGTTTTTTTTTTTAGATCAAAACCTACCTGATATGAAGGGAAGTGGTCTATACATTTATTGATGTATTTAATCTGCTTGGATTCTTTCAATTTCTTGTATTTATGTCGGCAATAATTTATAGCTTGAAACTCAGAAAGCTGAAATAATACCAAGTTAGTATATATGTCAAGTTATTAGTAAATATGCCAAGTTTTCCGTAACATATGCCAAAATGTTTGTAAATATGTCAAGTTGTTAGTAAATATGCCAAAATGTTAGTAAATATGTCAAGTTGTTAGTATATATGCCAAAATGTTAGTAAATATGTCAAGTTGTTAGTACATATGTCAAGTTATTAGTAAATATGCCAAGTTTTCCGTAACATATGCCAAAATGTTTGTAAATATGTCAAGTTGTTAGTAAATATGCCAAAATGTTAGTAAATATGTCAAGTTGTTAGTATATATGCCAAGTTGTTAGTAAATATGCCACGCTGTTAGTAAATATGCCAAGTTTTCAATAACATATGCCAAAATGTTTGTAAATATGTCAAGTTGTTAGTAGTTATGACAGGTTGTTAGTATATATGTCAAGTTATTAGTAAATATGCCAAGTTTTCCATAACATATGCCAAAATGTTTGTAGATATGCCAAGTTGTAAGTAAATATGCCAAGTGGTAAGTAAATATGCCAAAATGTTTGTAAATATGTAAAGCTGTTAGTAGTTATGCCAGGTTGTTAGTATATATACCAAGTTGTTAGTAAATAAGCCAAGTTTTCAGTAACATATGCCAAAATGTTTGTAAATATGTCATTATGCCAAGTTGTAAGTAAATATGCCAAGCTGATAGTTAATATGCCAAGTTCTTAGCAAATATGCCAAGTTGTAAGTAAATATGCCAAGTTGTTAGTAAATATGTCAAGTTGTTAGTATATATGCCAAGTTGTTAGTAAATATGTCAAGTTGTAAGTAAATATGCCAAGTTGTTAGTAAATATGCCAAGTTGTAAGTAAATATGCCAAGTTGTTAGTAAATATGCCAAGTTGTTAGTAAATATGCCAAGTTGGAAGTAATTATGCCAAGTTGGAAGTAAATATGCCAAGTTGTAAGAAATATGCCAAGTCCCCCTGTATCACTGACAGGGGGAAACCGGGTTGAAAAATCTTTATCTCAACCTATGCTGGGATTGAAGCCTGGACCTTCATGTTAGAAAGCTCCCCAACATGTTTGAAGTAAGTATGTTATTTTACTGTACGTAATATCTTACCTCTGGTTTTTTCTCCATCACTGACGGTAGCTTGGACTCGATATAAAAATCAACAGGTTGGGGAGGCTTGGGACATTTATTCGAACTAGATCTACAAAAAAATATATGTTTAGCGTCTTGATAACTTAGACTTCCTAATTCAAAACATTGTGCAGGGAAAGTAGACTTGAATAATTAGACTCTTTCAAGTTAACAATAAATCTTACTCACTTGGTAATTTTCTTCTTCACAGCGGTCGACTTCTCTTCATATTTTGCCTAGAAAAAAATGTGCCACTTTCAGTTGTCAAAGATCTAACTGTTATTCCAAAATGTTTTGAAGAATTCACTGTTTTCAATAAATTTTGTGCACATTCTCGTGTTAAGTTTGGAAGCCTTAAAAAGTTGGCATTTCAAAAAAGAAAACTACATAAATACCTGCTTTCTTCAGATTGTATTCATAAAGACATACACCATGAAGTGTACAACAAGGGCAACTCAAATGTAATGAAACAGAATAGATTTTGACATCCAACTTTTTTTCTTCATACAGACTCACACCATGAAGTGTGCCATGAGGGCAATTTTTCCAAGAAATCAGAATTAGCATACCTTTCTCTTGTCTGATAAATTCTCATATTTTACTTTCAACTCTTCAATAGCCTGCTGCATGGGTGTTTCAGGATTAGCTTCTATAAAGTCGTCTAATTTCTTTTCCACGTACAGTTCTTCAGCTGTGTATCTTTTCTGATTCCTAATCTAAAAAAAAATGAAATTTCGAAATAAAATGAATTTTAAAGGGACAGATGCACCATTTTTTACCAATAATACTTTAGTCTAAGAAATGGGAATTTTTTTTTAGCTAAGCCTATCAGTAATAGTGTTCACAGCTCACCGTCAAAATTTGAGCCTTCAAATCCATGTATGTCCAGAATTATCCATGTTTGAATGTTAAAATGACAACTCATCAATTTAAGATACACTGTGATTTAAAGAAAAGACATCTATAGAAATAGTGAGTTTAATTCCTAGTTTGAGATATTTTTAAAGGAATTATAAGATTTTGGTACATTTCTAGTACTTCTGAAAACTATTTACATATATTCAACACTAATATGTCAAGACTAAAATCAACCCCCAAAAATGGCGCAACTGTTCCTTTAACATCCCACTTTCTGCATGTGTGCAGGCTAATGAGAAACTGCAACGCCATAATGTCGCCCTACAAACCTGCATAACTGATCTGGTCAAAAAAGCATTCAGGGAATGTCTCTAAACCCCAAGGTGGCCATTTTGTCTTGTAAACTGTGATAGGATACCACTAAGATTGAATTGTAAATTGCTCTAAGTTGTCAAGAGAAACACAAAGTTAAATTACAGTGTGCAATAAGGTAAACTGTACTTACAAAAAATTTTGGATCTTGATCAAGAACCTGTTTAGCAGCGTTGTAAAATTCACTGACGGTCCGATGTCGTTTCACCTGGAAAATCAACATAAATAAAAACTGGACCTATATATATATATATATACATGATAAACAAAGATCTTCCGAGGGTATATGAGTCTACAATTCTCCATCCCTTGATCCATGGGGCCCTTATTACATTTTGTACAGTATTATTCAATTTGACAGACAGGGAACAACTATATTTTACAAGGATAACAACTTAGGTTCACAAGGACTTGGGTCCTATCAGCTGGTTCTTAGCAGGATGACTTGTTTCAAAGGTCAATACAGGCTAAAACCCAATATTTTTTTTTGTCCATGTAACCGAGCAAATTAACATTTGATTTTCAAAGTTTCTGTATATATTAATTTATAACATTATAACTGTGATATTTGGTGCTATATTTGATAGAAGAGATTAACGTCTACTGTCTTATAAAAAGTTTTTAACAATTTCAGTGAAAAATATTGTTGTATCATAAATTTTTTTAAAAAATCTGCACTTTTCTTGAATAAATGGTATGGTCAAGTATCGATACATGACATCACATTACAATATATGTATCGTGGCATGTCGTATCACGGTACATTGATTCATCAATTTATCGTGCCAGAACTAATTCAAAACCACGCCCACAAGACTTTCAGAGGCCAAACGAGGAAAAACAATTCAGTACCTTCTTCTGTATTCTGTGCCACATCATCTTACATTCATAGACTGAAAACCTTCCGAATTTTACTTCATCCCAATTGATAGCTTTCTCTAAACCTGTACATGTTCTTGTACCATCATCTAGCTTCATAATGGCCTCCTCCATATTGTTCATTAACTGATTTATATGTTTCACTGTCCATATATGAATTTCTACAAGAAAATGTGAGTTTCTTTTATAAAGGGATACAGTCTTGATTTACTTTTCTTTCGCTACGACCAATCAAATTTACCGGCAAGAAAACGTGAGGTTCTTTTAAAAAGGGACACAGTCTTGATTTATTTTTCTTTCCCTACGACCAATCAAATTTACCGGCAAGAAAACGTGAGGTTCTTTTATAAAGGGATACAGTCTTGATTTATTTTTCTTTCGCTACGACCAAACAAATTTACCGGCAAGAAAATGGGTTAAGCAGATCAAGGATTAAATGTCACATAGGCCAATAAATAGATGGCTGTTCACTTTATACAACTAGCTTTGTATTAGGCAGTGTGTTTTAACCAATCAAAACTACCTCTTACAAACAAGAGGGGTTTGTTGCCTATATATAATATTTACAAGTTTTGTATGTGTTGTGTGTTCATATTACAGAACAAACCATATGAGGAACCATGTTGATTGGTCAGTTTGCGATTCAGATGACATGACAAATATTTATTACTGTACCTCAATCCTTAATGCGAGGTTTACCTACTAAAGTGAAACATGGTAGAAATAAGAACGTAATAGTTTCAGACTTTCTTTACCTTTATCAGCTTCCGTCCATTGTGTATCATTTATTTCAGTCTGGGAAGGTTTAAACGTAATCTCGTCATCTTGGGAGAAAGTGGTGTCCAGTTCCGTAGAGGATACGACTGAAATAATGAAATTTTAACTTGTGGTGGACATTTTGATTTTTCTGATACTTGACAACTGAGGAGACACTCACTGATTTAAAAAGTAAAATTCAGATTTGAAAATGGACACTCACCTTCCTTGTGTTTTCGTTTCTTGCTTGGCGAACGCTGACCAGAAACTATTTCTTGGCTTGAGCTGGCTTCAACCACGTGCTTTTTTGGCATTTTCTAAATAATGGGCCACACAGTCACTTTTAGCTTGAAAAAAATGCTTTAACTTTGGAATTAGGCTTTAAAATGTCTCTTTTTAGTATCTCGGATTAATCATGAACACATTGCACTTAATATTTTTAAGTATTCCTTCCAATAAAACACAGAATTCCGCTTAAAATGTTTGTTTACAAAATAAATCTTGCAAAAAGTGTAAATGGCGGCCATTAAGGTCAAGGTTGAAGAGAAAACTTTCAGCCAATAGAATTGCTTGAATTTGACCTCGGGGTCATGAATCTAAACTATATAAATTTGATGGTTGTTGTAAATCATTAAATGTATTTAAAACGACAAAAACAACACAAATTCAACAAAAATTGGACGGGCAAGCTCCGAAATTGAGTCCTCTTTGCCGAGACTTCCCTTTGAATGCCCTTTGTCAGAGGCCTTATGAATTGAGAAGTTTGTCAAAAAAGATTGTGTTTTTTTGTGGTTTTTTTCAAGGATTTTATCCATGGGGTCACTTGATCCTGCAACCTGCTCATGCCAATTTAAATAAATCAGACTTAAAGTGACAGATGCGCCACCTTGGGAGGTTGATTTGAGTCTTGAATATATGTAAATAATCTTCAGAAGTACTAGAAATGTACGAAAATCACATAATTCCTTTAAAAATATCTCAAACTAGGAATTTTACTCACTATTTCTATAGATGTTTTTTCTATATATCACAGAGTATCTTAAATTGACGAGTCATCATTTTAACTTTCAAACGCAGATAATTCTGGACACACATGGATTTGAAGGCTTAAATTTCGACAGTGAGCTGTGAACACTATTAGTGACTGGCAAAAGTATGATTGGTCAAAAGAATTGAGCTCCTGTCCCATTAAGGTGTCTACTGTTTGGCAGAATGAATAATTCAATATTCCAAAAACATTAGAAGATTATAAAGTTCTTTAATTGGATACAAAATGGAGTACATGGATTGAATGGTAGAAGTAATCAAAATTCAAATAAAAATGATTATTTGGATTACACTATTCAAAATTAAAATACAGCATCAGGTTCTCATACAATTCATGAAAAATCAATAGCACCAGTGGAATATTTCATAAAACCCTGACTGTACATTTTAATTATGAAAAAATGTTACAGACAGCTGAAATTGAGCTCTATCAGCTGATAAAGCAAAAATAAATAGCTTAAATTGAGCTCTATCAGCTGATAAAGTAAATATTTAGATGACTATACAGATAGCTGAATTGAGCTCTATCAGCTGGTAAAGCAAATATTTAGATGACTATACAGATAGTTGAAATTGAGCTCTATCAGCTGGTAAAGTAAATATTTAGATGACTATACAGATAGCTGAAATTGAGCTCTATCAGCTGATAAAGTAAATATTTAGATGACTATACAGATAGCTGAAATTGAGCTCTATCAGCTGGTAAAGTGAATATTTAGACGACTATACAGACAGCTGAAATTTTGCTCCATCAGCTGGTAGAGCAAATATTTAGATGACTATACAGATAGCTGAAATTTTGCTCTATCAGCTGGTAAAGTAAATATTTAGATGACTATACAGATAGCTGAAATTTTGCTCCATCAGCTGGTAGAGCAAATATTTATATGACTATACAGATAGCTGAAATTTTGCTCCATCAGCTGGTAAAGTCGATATTTAGACGACAATACAGACAGCTGAAATTGAGCTCTATCAGCTGATAAAGCAAAAATAAATAGCTGAAATTGAGCTCTATCAGCTGATAAAGTAAATATTTAGATGACTATACAGATAGCTGAAATCGAGCTCTATCAGCTGGTAAAGTAAATATTTAGATGACTATACAGATAGCTGAAATTGAGCTCTATCAGCTGGTAAAGCAAAAATTTAAATGACTTTACAAATAGCTGAAATTGAGTTCTATCAGCTGATAAAGCAAAAATAAATAGCTGAAATTGAGCTCTATCAGCTGGTAAAGTCCATATTTAGATGGCAATACAGACAGCTGAAAATGAGCTTCATCCGCTGGTAAAGCAAATATTTACTCAACATCTGTATTTACTGCACATGTGCTATGCAAACACAAAGCTCAAAGACCTTACTATGCAATTATATAGCTCAAATGCTTCATTTTAACAACTTTGTTAACAGTGTTTGATTCACAAATTTAAAATGTCACTAAAAACTGGAGCAGATGTCACGTTTTCCTCATTGTAATCATGGTGTTAATTTCCCAGTTAATAGAGCGAATCTGATCAATAATTTCCTTCAGCTGTTGATTTTTCACTCGAACTTGCTGAAAAATAAAAAAAAAAACCATATTAACAGTAGTTGTAGGTTCCAATCTCGGACGGTGAGCGAAAGTCTGGTGACCTTGGTTAAGTCATCTTCCTTCATTATTCCAGTTGACCCAACTGTAAATGGGTACAGATAATCCAGGACAGATTAATACTAAGAGGTTTGGTCCAGGACCAGCTGGTAGAAAGGATTCTCATTATTCCAGTCGACCAAGCTGTAAATGGGTACAGATAATCTGTGAAAGATCAATGCCAAGAGGTTTGGTCAAGGACCAACTGGTAGAAAGGATCCTCATTATTCCAGTTGACCTAGCTGTAAATGGGTACAGATAATCCAGGAAAGATCAATGTCAAGAGGTTTACCAAGGATCAGCTGGTAGAAAGGATCCTCATTATTCCAGTTGACCTAACTGTAAATTGGTACGGATATTCCAGGAAAGATCAATGCCAAGAGGTTTGGTCAAGGATCAGCTGGTAGAAAGGATCCTCATTATTCCAGTTTACCAAGCTGTAAATGGGTACAGATAATCTGGGAAAGATCAATGCCAAGAGGTTTGGTCAAGGACCAACTGGTAGAAAAGATCCTCATTATTTCAGTTGACCTAGCTGTAAATGGGTACAGATAATCCAGGAAAGATTAATACTAAGAGGTTTGACCAAGGACCAGCTGGTAGAAGGGATCCTCATGATTCCAGTCAACCCAGCTGTAAATGGGTACAGATAATCTGGGAAAGATCAATGCCAAGAGGTTTGGTCAAGGACCAACTGGTAGAAAGGATCCTCATTATTCCAGTTGACCAAGCTGTAAATGGGTACAGATAATCTGTGAAAGATCAATGCCAAGAGGTTTGGTCAAGGACCAACTGGTAGAAAAGATCCTCATTATTCCAGTTGACCTAGCTGTAAATGGGTACAGATAATCTGGGAAAGATCAATGCCAAGAGGTTTGGTCAAGGACCAACTGGTAGAAAAGATCCTCATTATTCCAGTTGACCTAGCTGTAAATGGGTACAGATAATCCAGGAAAGATTAATACTAAGAGGTTTGACCAAGGACCAGCTGGTAGAAAGGATCTAGACAGAATCCTGAAGAACCTTGAAGCATTATCCTGGTAAAAAAAATCTTCAAGTGTTAAAATCAGAATTTCTTTCAGGTAAGGAAGGCAAAACTTGTACTGAGCAAAGCGTTTGATTGGGTAAAATTCTTCGAACCATGAACTACTCATTCTTAATAATGTCTTCAGATCATGGGTGGAGTAATCAATTTATGTTTGCCAATAAAGAAGAAGACAAAAATCTTCTTGATATTAATAGTAACTTAGAATTTTAGAATGAGTGAAGTAGCCCACAGAAAAAAATGAAACAAAATATCTAGTACCTCTACAAGTTCTCTATGTTCTTCTAAAACATAAGGGTAAACTTCAGATACTGGTAAAGTCTCCACCTCCCCACCAACTATAGGTATTAAATGCTGAAAACAAACAAAATATCATTAATGGAGGACACAATCTTTTTTTTTCTCCCCGACCTATGCTTTCGTAATTTCAATTACCGTACTTATAACCCTTGTCTTGTCACCGAACTGGAAAACAATCAAATCCTCAATTTCAAAGATCACGATTTCCAAATTCTCTTTCAGAGAGTCCACACCGTTATAATGAAAATTCCTTATTTGAAAGGTCAAAGTTCCTAAATACTTTCAGAGAGTTGAGAAAGTCCACATAGTGGTTAAAATGATTTTATTGAATATATATTAACAGTCACTTTCCCAATTTGGAAAAAAAAGGCCACACATAATATTTCCAATTTCACAGCCAATTAGCCCTACTGAAAAATCTTCTACCGTCCAATGTGGACACTCTAGAATAGAGGCTGATTAAAATATCTCACTCACTTCATCTGAGGGTTGTTCCAACTCTTCACAAGTCTCCCTAACTTTATCATAAATAGCTCGTAACTTTTTGAAAGTGACACACAAGGTTTTAAGTTCTTCTTCTAACTTTGTTTTTCTGTCTTGATAATTTGTTAGCTGAAATAAAAATTTAGAACATTTCCAAAAACTGCCTCTGCCTGTGATTTTGGACGATTTCAGTGTATCAGTGTAAATGTTTATGTGTATTGTAGAAACTAAGATTTTTGCAGAATTGTAAGAACCAGACGTCGGATGAAATTTGGAATGATGCATATAGAATTCCTAAATAGCCCTGAAACATATATTGGACAGTTTCAATTCCATTTCAAAATTTATCTTTTCAAATTCAGATGCAAATTTTTTTTTCATAAAACTTCATACAGACCTGAAGCAGGCCAGGTTTTCCCAAACTGCCAAAAATTTCTGTTGCCTTGGTGATGATTTCATGAATATATTCCTGACCAAATCGGCAGAACGTGGCAGCATTGACTATCTTGTTGGGGGACACCATAGGTTGTTGGGGGCCTGCTGGTGGATTGGGGCCCTGAGGTACAGCTGAAATGTTCTGTAAAGACTGGAAATTTGCTGGTGCTGAACTTTGTGAAATGAGTGGAAAATGTTTTGGTGCTGCTGGTGGAGGCTGCTGTGTAGCGGCCATCTTTATTTTAAAGGGATAAATGAAACTGAAAAAGAAAGAAAAACTTTACTGAAGAAGCATTTTTATATAACATTCATGGTCAACATAATCAAGAGCATTTATTATTCAAGTTTAGTAAAGGATTGAATTTTACCTCTACCTGCCAAATCAAGGGGTTTTCACGAATTAGCTCTTACACCCTTCAACTTCAACAAGAATTGAATGGGGTTTTCTAAAGCATTTGCAGATAAAGAGAGACTGAGGAGATGCAAAGTGACAAATCTTTCAGATATCGAGTCACAAACTTAATTGAAAGGTTAGAACCGCTTACAATGAATGTTTGATTAGTTTAATGGCTTAAAAAGATGAAAAACTGCAGAAAAATGCTTTGTTATTGTTTTGAATCCGCCATGTTTATGTTTCACGTGTTATGACGAGATATAGCGGGATTAAGCGCGAGCATGTAGACTCCAACATTAAGTCATAAATTTTGTGTGACATTTCTTCAACGTGGCGTGATAATCTGGATGAAAGCAATGGCTTCCATTTTGTGAAGTTTAAAACGCAAGTTCGAATCCAAAGATTTCATTTACTGAATCATATTTGTCAAAGATTTTTATTTTTTGTAAATTCTTTGAAGAGCTTGGACACCAAAGTATCGGAAAAGCAAAAGGTAATGTAAAATTGATGCGTTTTTTTGCATGAATAAATCCGATTTCATTTGGTTACATCAATGTTATTATTTTGACTTGTGCCTATTTTTTTTATTATTCTACCATGCTTTAGGCTTAGCCCGTCCTGAATCCCACCTGATCATTGTGATCGACTGTTGATTTCTTTCTTTTTTTCTAAGCATATGTCAGGGTAGATTTCTTTCTTTCTGGTAGATCTAGGTAATGATTTAACATGTAGACTTTACAGTGGCATATGAGCTAAAAGTTTTAATGACATTAGTCTACTTCATTAGGCAGGCCCTACATGCTATACACTGTCCATAGTAAGATGTATGAAAAGACCCTAAAGGTGTGGGCACGCTGATTAGAGTCTTGTCAGATGTTTCAACAACTGGCAAAGGCATGTGAGGAGACAAAAATCTCCAGTCGGTCGTTTTCTAATATGTTGATAATCACGTGCAGATCATGCAATTGAAAGGAAGTGAATCTGATTGGATGCTGAGGATATGCAGGTACTATAAATCCTGTCGGGGATCGCGATAATACTGTTGTGCAACCACGGGCACACACGAGATTTTACTCAAGACTCTAATCGGCGACAAAAATCTTCAACCAAGACAGCACCTTAACATACATTAAGTAGTGTTTTTAATGGTGAAATATGAATGATTTCTCTGTTCTTTTTGAAAATTTACAAGTTTGGGAAATTAATGAAAATTATTGAATATAGCTCTACTTGTACCAAGTTAAAAATAGTTGACAAACCCAAATTATAACAATTAAGTACGTTTGCTTGACTATACCTGTAACCTCCAAAATTTTAATTATGAATTTTTGTTATAGTATCTGTTTGATATTGTGATTTGTCCTGCCTTTCACATAATTCAAATCAATCATTATAATCTTCCAGATGCAATATGAAGTCACCCACAACAGCTAGAAAATCAAGCCCAGGATCTGCAGCACCATTGCGGCACCCTAATGGAAGATTTAAATCTACAGCTGGTATGATTACTAGTCAGAGGTTATTGAGGGATTCAAAACAATTATCAGGTATGGATATAGTGTGTCTATCATGTAGTTGACACCCCTCATTTTTCTATTGAACTCTACCACACATGCATACTTTCAATCAATATGAAACAGTACCTGCATATTTGGAAGAGCTCATTACTGAGATCAGGGGTATTTTTTTTGTCTGGAGAAAATATATCATTTGGCTTCTCAAAGCAGAGGTTCCAAAACCCCTATCAGCAGGGGTATGCATGTATTGAAATGATGCATCAAACCAAGTTTTTCAGGTGACTGTCTAATGTGAACCTCAAGTTTGTGACCCCCTGGGGTTAAAAAAAGTATGGAATTCCTGTAATTTTTGCGGTTTTATTTCAGGGAAAACGTCCCAAAGAACCTCTACACCTATTGGAAGAGGAGCAACCAGGAAGAGGCACCTAGAAGAAGCTGATGATTTACCAGGAAAGAAAACAAGAAAGAAACTGCTTGATGGACACAATCCTGATTCATCCTTATTTAAATCTGAACTGTCAGTGATTGAGCAGCATGATTCACCCACCAAGCATACCCGATCTTCCAGAGATGCTCCTTTGGAGATGTCCATGATACTAAAGTCTCCTAACTCATCTGCCAACACTTCAGGATCACCAAGGGCAAAAGAATCACCAAAGAAGCAGCTGCCTCAAAAAGCGAAAAAGAAGAGTTTTACTGGAGGTTCCAAAAGGGTTAAGCCACAACTTTACAAAAAATCAACAAGAGTTCGCCAACATGATGATTCTTTGCTCTCCAAAAAGAGAATGAGTCGTCGCAATGAACCACCATGCTTAAGTATTCCAGTGTATATAAATAAGAAAGTATCCAGCAAGGAAGATGCTAATGCCAATGCTTCTAAGTCCTCCATTAAAGACCTTGATGTTGATAAAAGTCCTGTGAAACCAGAATCTCAGAGACCTGAAACAATCTCAAATCCCAAAAGTGCTTCTTTGAAATCTTCATCGAGAAAGTCTAAACAAAGATTTATGAAAGCTCCCAGAAGAAGCAGAACCCTTTCGGAAAAGACTGGTACAGACAAACCAGCTGATGTTTCCAAAAAAGATGGAGAGGACTTTTCAAAGCATGACTTTTCTCCAGGGATCAATACAAGGCAAAGGATCAAGTCAGGCAGTAACGTTTCTAGTCAATGTGAATCATCTTTGGGAAACAGCAGGCTGGAGTCATCTACAGAAGAGGACAGCAGTCTCCTGGCTGGTTCGTCATTAGAAGCTTCAGTCGGTGACTCAACACCAAGTATCATTAACATCACAGGTGATACCAGCAGCTCCATGGATCAATCATCCCATAGCTTAAGAAGGTCACATCAGAAGATAAATGAAGCAAAATTATCCAAAATGGCATCCCAGAAGTCTACTTTGAATCAAAATGTGGATCCTGAACCAAAAGTGGTTGAATTATTTCCTCCCCCGAAAACAGACAGAAATAGGAAATCCAAAAGAACTGCATCACCACCAAAGCATTCTTCCAAATCTGACCATGATGCTTCTCCAGCTGGCAGAGTTCAAGAAAATGGTGATACACGAGTCAGAAGGTCTAGTTCAGCAAAAGCTCTTGGTAACAGACAAAAAAGTCTCAACAGTCCAAAGGAGTCAACTTTAGATGCTAGTGCTGATGGAAGAATAACAAGAAGTATATCCAAGCCTGAAATATGCACAGTAAATACCACTGAGGATATCCATAAGAAAACAGCCAGTTCTCATGCTTCAAAAGACACAAAGAAGTGTAAAGGACCACAGCCAATAAGTGGTAGCCACGACTCAAGATCCTCTGCCAGGAAGACTCATTCCAAACAAGCAGTGAATTCTACTGCAATACCAGATCAAATCCAGGAAAGATCTTCTTCATATGAGATTCCCAAAGAGACCCTGGGTGACAGAGAATCCAGAAAGACCAGATATGCGGGTGTCCATGATGATGTAACCACCAAAGAAAGCATCAACTCATCCAAAAGTCAACAGAGAAAATTGAGGTCTTCTGATGTTTCTAGTTTGACATCTATTGGTGGTCATTCCCCTTCAAAATCTCACAAACATATAGGTGAAAAGAAGACAACAGAAAATGATCCAAAAAATTCAAAGGCATTGTCATCATCAGTCCCTGAAAATTTGACTCAACAAATCAAAAAGATGAGAAACCACAAGACCACTGAAGAGACAGTCAACCATCCAATGCCTCTTAGTTACATTCTCCAGAAAGATAAACACCGCAACCAGATCAAGAAAAAGATCGATGACATTGTGGATTCATTAGAATTTGCTTCTGATGAGGAGTCTTTATCTGATTTGGTTGGAATGCACAGTTCATCAATGGAAGACCATACAAAAGAATCCTCAGTAAAAGCATCAGAGAAGGATCCTGAAGATGCTTGTAAAGATGCTTCAGATGAGATGGACAGTTGTGATGATCCAGATGAGATCTTCCAGAGGCAAATTCAACTGTCAGAGAAACCATCCGAGAGCAGGTTAGGGGTGAATTCCCCCAGTAAGTCACTGCCTCTAAAGAAGAGATTGAAGGTCCTGTTTCCCAGAAGAAAGACCAAAACACCAGATTCTTTGGTACACAACTCAACATCTGAAGTTCAGCTGAACAGTATCCAAGATTCCAGTATTAACCAATATGAAAGAGAAGCCACCAATGGTGTGATCCAACCAGTTCCCAAAGAAGCTTCAAAGAAGCCACAAAGAAGAACTTCACCACGAAGAGTTGAATCCAAGTTGTCTAAAGGAAGTGAAATAGAGCCTTATCACAGCCCAGTAAGAGAATCGCCAGGAGGCATTACTCTCAGATCTTGTAGAAGATTGACAACTGAAGGCCCAATTTCAGTGGACAGTTTCTCTGATTCAGTGACCTCCACCTTAGAGCATCCTTATGGCAAATTGCAAATAGTGGTTTTAAGTGACACTAGCTCTGAATCACAAAATTCTACATTGTCGGACTCAGGATCTAAAGAAGCAAACCCTCCTAGTCACTCAACACATGTCCACAGTGGGATGAACCAGAAAAGTCATGATCCTTCATCTGTGACTAAATCAGATTCAAAGCAACAAAGGAATAATAAACTGCGACCCCAAAAGAATTTGGTCTCAGAGGATGTTCAGCAACAGCAGCCATCTAAAGCTACATCAACAGGAAGTGATCGACCCCCTCTTATAACAGATC